TGAGAGAGGTCCACATGTAGTACCTATATATGTAATATCAAAGCAATTGGACTTGCGGTTTTCAACAAGAAGTCGAAAATATCACTTTTTACCAAAAATGACAAAAATATTCACCAAAATTAGAGAATTAAAGATATCATTACAAAATGAACAAATCTGAGAGAGGTCCACATGTAGTACCTATATATGTAATATCAAAGCAATTGCACTTGCGGTTTTCAACAAGAAGTCGAAAATATCACTTTTTACTAAAAATGACAAAAAATATTCACCAAAATTAGAAAATTGAAGATATCATCATGAAATGAACAAATCTGAGAGAGGTCTACCCAAGGTACATATACACCAAGTATCAAAGCATTCAGGCTTGTAGTTTTCAAGAAGAAGTCGAAAAAGTAAAACATTGACACGGACGACAACGACGGACGAGGACAATCACTCATATGATAAGCTTCGCTCGACAAAGTCGACAGCGGAGCTAAAAAAATTGGAGTCTATACCTACATGGAATTTCACTAAAATTGGGTTAATAGTTAACCTTTTCACCACCAGTTCCCTCTTTCAATTACAAATTCACAAAATAGTCTTGTTTATAGTCTGCACTTTCCTTCAGAAGATTGGGACAAAAATAGCCAAATTTTTTGAGTAAAAACTGAAAATTGACTCAAATTTTGTCTGTTGGCTCCAAAATTAGGGTTCATTTTCAGAAATATTACAATACAAGAAAAAAGTGCAGAAAAATGTGCGCGAGAATGTCTGGTGGTGAAAAGGTTAATGTTTAAAGTAGCCAAATTAAGACTCAAATTGAAGAGAAAAACAGTGTGATACCTGTGACTGATGGGAAATAGATTGCCATGAGAACAAAGAATGTAGTAGTAAGATCTTGAATAACTTCACCACGATCTTTATCACCCTGCACACCTTGGGTTACCTCACCCTTCTTCATATAGTTACTGAATGCATTGTCTGACGGAAGAATAAAGAGACATTATTGTACGCTTTCACAAAATGACAAGCTCTCCTTAACGACAACCACTGAAAAGAAATCTGAGACGCTCAGTTATGCTTGATGTAATTCCATAAGCGGAGGGAGTGTTGAGACAGTGTGTTTTACACTATCCAGAAAAAAAATGATGTTTTAAACAATAATATCGCTGTCTCATCCATTTCATTGATAAATAAATACACTTTGTTGCTACAAAGTTGCAGATTTTGTTGTATGCTAATTGTATAATTGCTTTGTCTCACCATGAGTGCATTACGGAGTAGTCAACAAGTCTAGTCGTGTGACTATTACAACATGCTGGACATTGCAATTGCACATTTAGTAACTACTAGCAGATAACTACAGTCCATTGTTTTCAAAAATAGAATAATAATATTTTATTTCAAATGGATTGGCCCCCGCACATCATAAAATAAATATTATTATACATCTGTCACCGTAACGCCATAAGTTACAGCATGTCGTAATTTTGCGGTATTTTACGGGGTATTTTCATCCTACCATATTAGGAAATGTGAATTCCAAATATGGAATTATTACGCGCGTAAGCGTCTTCTAATAATAAAAACAAACATGGCTGCCACGAGAGTTTGACCAGATTCAACACAAAGAAGTTCGCTGATTCTGTTCTAAACATTTTGGATTTCGGAATTCCCATGATGTATCCTTGGAAGGAAGAGATGTATAATAATAAGGTTATTACAAGAATACCACAAAGTATGCATTCTGAAAGTATGCCGTCGCATCGACCTGCTGCACGTCGGCCGATACTCCAGCTGTACTGCCTTCGTGCATACTTTGAGGTATCCTCGTAATAACCTCATAATATCATCATCAACTGGAGAAAATAATCAAGAAATTGGAAAGATTTGAAAAGTATATACCATATGTTATAAAAGTTTCTCAGATTTTAGCTACAAATAACTTTCACCATCCAATCACCATGTTATTCAACAACCAGGTTTAATTAATTTAATAGAAGTGCAACAGAATTACATCCATGCAGAGCAATGATACACCAAGGGAAATCGAACCATTGGAAGCCATATACAATTACATACACAGTTATAGAGAAAGTACTCTATAGGAGACATGAGGAAATGATTTTGAGAAAGCGATGCTGGTGACAAAGTAGACTACAAATAGAACTGATCAACAGGAAGACATAACAAGCAGCCTGTCGGCTGAGATAGCTCCGCTGTTAGCAATGCACATTGCAATTAAAGAACAGAAAATATCATTAGAAAATGAACAATATGTATAGTATCAAAAGAACAGGTTTTCAACAAGAAGTCAAAAATATCACTTTTTACCAAAAATTAAAAAAATATTCACTAAAATTAGAGAATTAAAGATATCATCAAGAAATGAACAAATCTGAGAGAGGACCACATGTAGTACCAATATATGTAATATCAAAGCAATTGGACTTGCGGTTTTTAACAAGAAGTCGAAAATATCACTTTTTACCAAAAATGACAAAAATATTCACCAAAATTAGAGAATTAAAGATATCATTACAAAATGAACAAATCTGAGAGAGGTCCACATGTAGTACCTATATATGTAATATCAAAGCAATTGGACTTGCGGTTTTTAACAAGAAGTTGAAAATATCACTTTTTACCAAAAATGACAAAAATATTCACCAAAATTAGAGAATTAAAGATATCATTACAAAATGGAACAAA